GTTGTCAGTGCTCTAGTACCTCACGTAGACGATTCAGAGTAAATTTATACTACTAAGATGATGCAGCTTGGTAGCGATAAAAGTAAGACTGCACTAAATACAATTCAGTCATAAGACATTTTGTCAATTAGTCCTAACTTGGTTATATAAAATATACGAACATGTATTGTGACGTCCACTCAGCACCCGTTGCGCGCGTCTAGCATCTATCGGTGATTATTAATCGCTAAATCAACTTATGGGTTGACCCTTGAGTCAATGGAAGTTAATTACGTTGTGTTGTAAATTTTTAAGAGAATCATTTAATGTAATATTACGATACTATCAAACCCTAGTAGGAAAAGATTTTGTGACAGATTCGCCCCGCAACACGGTAGACTTCAAAATATACCAATTCGTACGTCATTGCATGAGTTGCATGTCACAAACTGAGCTATATACTGATATCCATAAAATTGACGAGACCAACTGAAGACGACGCACTTCGCGACGTCTGATTCAAACTACATCAACGAGGTTGGTTGAAATATCCTCGGCGCCAAACATCTCATGGAAATGGTCGATGTCAGTTTAACTTACTTACACGTTCATTGTGTCAAGCTTTGCGCGATGACATTTCCTTGCCTCTCGCTCGCATCATTTCAAAATCATTCGAAACTTTTTTCGTGTAACCAAGAAGTGTGCGTAGCCAATTCGGCTTAGTTGCGCGCGTACTTTTTCCAGTATGCCGCTATTCCAAAGAGCTATATTGTTTCCTTTAACGCATATAGTGATTCATAATCGACTTGGACTTTTCTGCATTAGAACGTAAGAAGTATTTTCCGACTATGCTACAACAAATTTTGTGATTTCTACAGCCGCGAATATACCCATCTCGAGCTTGGCGTACAGATCATGATTCCTAAAAATCGTAAGAATGTGTTATACATGATTTTGATGAGTCTTGATGTCCGACCTTTTATCGTTAGCCCGACTTTCGAAGAATACATCATCGGAAATAGTTCGGTTCGAAATCCTGCATCGGTCTCAACATATATGATTCACATCTGTTGAAAAGTATATGGGGACTTATGAAGCCCCCTGGCATGCTTTTGGTTTTCAGATCATACCGCTGAAGATGGATCCGTGTTTCGCACGAGATGTTACACCCATGCATTAGGATCTGTTAGACGCTATCCCCGAGATCCATGGGTGGAAGGATGGTATAATTAGATACACTATTTATGAGTACATCCTTCGACGATTTTGACGTCTGAGCCGGTATCTTTGCTAACAAGTCGAATGATGCAGGACTATTCGCTATCCTCTTATGGATGTACGCACACACATACGGATGTAGAGCTATTTGGGAAATCCGATTTTCCAGATGAAAAGTTGGTAAGATGTTGACATATAAATTTTCAATCTCTAGGCCTTGTTTACGAGGCAGTGTGCACTTGTTTACGCCACAATAATGTGAATCTGTTGTAACCTCGATATCTTTATTGGTAATGTGCTAGTGTAGATTTCTTGTACGTTACGATATCATCGATTATAACCTTGGATTCAATCATTTTCCATTGAGAGGATTTGACCTGAGCGACTCTCAAGACTGAGACGTGTAAAAGTAAATTCGAGACTTGTCACGGAGTTTTTTTCGTTCTCACAATGAGCCACCGCCGACCGCACATCGGTGAAGCCATCGTTCTCTGTCACAAGTAAGCAGATCTGCATGAATCTGAAGAATTAGATTTGCAAGAATTAATTAATTTCTAGCGTAGTAAATGGTTGATCTTCGAAGTTTACTTTGAAGTCGCAATCAGAACAAGCGTATAAGCGCCCACGATTTATCCGTTCAGCCATGAAGAAAAACATCTTTATGTTTTCCTACGGACTTAATACTTCATCACTACTCGTTATTACATCATCTTACCAAGATTATTCCACTCGTGCGCTCTAGATGGGGTTGTGCAATCACAACAGTATTTCATATGATCAGTCTCCAGTCGATCGACGATTACCGAGCTGTTTCTTCTAAGTCATCCAATAACGTCTTTTAATAAAAATGATTACCGAAAGTCGAGCATCCATAAACCATCCACTCGGCTTCATATGATTGTGAACCTCGATGACTGTGTAATCTTGCACAGTGCCCCAAAAATTGCTTCATATTGAAACGTTCTACCGCACTGAGTGTATTCTAAGTCGTACCATGTAGAAAACCACAGGTGAGCTAGTCGCACTCTCTCATAGTACATCCACACTCTTTTGAGCACCACAAAACGTTCACCTGATGGATATCTGGTGACCAGGTGGTAGCAATATTTACCGATCGATGCTACCAGCTTAAACCATAATTCGTACCTTCTGAGCCTTGATAACAGCAAGATGGCACGAAATTTGTCGTCTCAATCCTGTACGACGAAATATGATCCGTAATGCACATATTCTAACGCGTCATGTCTCATAACCATACGTTTCTTCACTGTTTAAGGTGCCTGTTGCAAGGCGCACACAGACAACAAAAATGTGCCAAAAGAAACCTTCGTCACGAAACCTACAAATTATGTTGACGCGAATAGAACATAAGGACGCGCTTCTCCAACTGACAACAACGAATTATGACGATTGACATGCTGTTGCAAGCTCGAATCAATACCATATCCGTTAAACTCCGAATTGACACCGTACCCGTATTTATCATCGATGCTTTTTTAATACCGGTCGTTCGTCTCGCTCTGTGTGACAAAATGAGTAGCATAGTGTACTTCTAGTATAGATGTCATTACGAAGCTTTCCATTAATTATCTCGTCTTAGCAGTAACTTATGAAATGAAGAACAAACAATTTGACTATCATGTAAAATATGTTTGGAGGCTTAGAGGGCCCTCCTGCGTAAAATGGTATGTCTCAGATGGACTCGATGCTCCCGTCGTCGTCAGTGGACAATTTTAAGCCGGTCCAACATAATCTTGATGTAGAATCCAGTCCTCCTATACCACTGTGATAAATGTATGATTAATCGACCACGGTAGATGAGGAATGGGCTGATACTTATAAATCCATCCGTAAAGCACCCCAATGAGTACTGCAGTCAACGTTTATCATCTTTCGGGTTTGCTCTGATACGACTTGAGATGCAATGTACCTACGGAATGGAAGCTAAAATTGCACAACCCATTTGTTTTTAATATCTTAATTTGAGCCTTTACTCGGCAAGTAGTGGCTCCAACGTATATTTGTGAAGTCACCACGATTACATACACCCAAACGTATGTGTGTCTTTATACCTGTGGCCCAATTTTCGTAACATTTTTGAACATCCATTCAGTATAAATATGGAAACGGCCAATCTCATTGCAACGTCTTCAATAAAGCAGGACTCAAATCGCGCTGTCGATTCGACGAATTGTCTTGAAAGAGGGTTGTCTTCGTCCCAATTGTACTTGAGTGCTTATATCTTCACTCAGCCGGATCGATGGGGACCTACAAACCCATCAGCAGCAGCACCTGACTGCTACTATCATAATAGCTCCATGGAGCTATTCAGAGACACTGCCTTATCACCAAGTCAGCTATTGAAGCGCCAATCTCCCTCAGCAGCTCGGTCGAATAACAATCCGGCATTTTTTCTTCGCTTCATCAAGTTCATGTTGGACAAACTTGGAGATGACGGCGTGCTCGTCGGTTCACTTTATGTAACCATAACACCGGTCCGACGGCGACTCATCCGTTTGCCACACGTCTTGCCATTCGAAAATACTCATCCGAATGAAGGTTTCGCGCGATGTGGAAGCACCCGTACCCGCAGGTATCATCGCAGATGTGTTCATAGTAGTGGAACGGACCACGACATGCGACGAGATGTAACGGAAAACGTTGCATATGCAGTGATATAGTGTACACGAAGTACACAGATGGTAGTGGAAGCTTGGTGCACGCCATACCTGACGTAAACAATGTGCACGAATCGTATCATTCACCGGACTAGTTTTGTTGAGGAAGAAAAGGAACGATACCCTGCACAGCCAAACTTGTCAATATCGATCATCTTTCAAGCTTCCGTAAGCCGTATTTTGCACAAAGATGCGTCATACCGATATGCTCACCACTATTTGCGTGTTTGTTCCCCAATCGTGGACAGCAGGTTGAGATCGTGGTCGATGTCAACGCCGATTGCGGATTTTACCATCACCCGTTTACGTAATATTACTTTCAAAAGTAATATTGCGGGGTTTTAATTGACCATTACCGATCGTTGTAACATACACACTGAATTTGGATAAATGTCAATATCATGCAATGTCTACCTCGTGCCCATTCACTTTGAATTTTAAACGCACCAACGATTTTATCAACGGACTGCAGTACCTTATCTGCGAGTTCAGAGTGGCGTTATGTTGCGATAGAAGCCGTGCAAGGGTCGGCCGCTTAGTGAGCTTCGATCGCTGTATGAGTCGATACATCATGGCTGCGAAAATCGAGTGTAGTAAGCTGGTGAATCGATTCTAGACGTGGAAATGTTCTACGGTGGGCGTGTCGAAGACCTTGTCCAATACTGCAGATGCTTTACCCGACAAAATTTCTGGAGACGAATAACTGGTGTGTGTGTCTGGTGCCGTTTGCATTGCATGCGAGTAGCTTGTACAGCAGCCGCTTTCTCCGGGCAACCGTAGATTCTTCCGACGGACACTTAATTGACTGGTATAGTTCGGCGTTGCCGTATGTTTCGTTACAAATTTGGTTTAATATCCTTTTCTTTTACAATGTTGCAACAAATGTCGGTCTAGCTGCTGGCGCGAGGAACCGAGATCGATTGTGCCGTTCACGAAACGTTGGGCACCAGCTGACGTATATTCTTTGTGCGGCACTGCTAATTGCTTTGAGTACTCAAATGACATTTGTGCCACCGCTCAATCTATGCAAGTCTTGACAGTGGCCGAACTGCGAGAAATGATACACTTGATACGGTGATTATGACCTTTGAACACGTTGAATCAGTGCCCACCAGTTGTTGGACAATGGCGTCTATTCGACTCGAACCGAGTGTTCTGGACGGTGCTACGGTTGGGATCGAAGAGTTTATCGACAACTGCACAGGTCGATTGGTTGTGCGCGGCTGTATCAAGTCGAAGTGCGTCGTCGTGACCTTGAGTTGAACCGATTGGTGCAGCGGATGCGATGGGTCTAACTAATTTTGTGTCAGACCTGAGGACTTTATCGTGCGCGAGATTAGTGCAGCTGGTGATGTGGTGGAATTGAACGAGCAGAGCGACTGTTTGCCGTCAGAGAGCGAGCGCATCGCTATTCTGGAGAAGCTCGAAGCGGAACAGCAGCAGAAGGCGAAGAAGGAGAAACTCGAGTTCGATGACCCCGTGGCCGGTTGGCCCTCAGCTCTGATGGAGCTGATTGGACCTGCTGGACGTGAATGTATCGAAAGCGTGGCGGCGGGACAGGTTGAGAGGGCCCTTATCGCATCACCCGCGACATTGAGAGAGCGAGCGTACCTTCAAAATTGTATCCAGGTGGGCCGACCATAGAGCACCTGGTTTCAATGTCGGATGAAAACTAACTTCACTCAGAATTGCTTCCCAGCGCTAGACTGTAAAGCGTGCCAGGTGCTAGACATTGACGGGCATGCAATGCAGCAGATACAAGTAGTGTTGGACCCTGTTTACAAAAAATTGCAGATGGGAGGAATGGCGCGAAAGAATTGTGATCGTCTACTCACACTCCTTCGAAAAGGATCTTGTGACCCGACGGCTTCAAAAGGTGCGAATAGAATTGTAGCTGCACTGAACACAGTGAGTCCGGTAGGAGCTGCTACTGACATCAATTTGTGTGTGAACACAGGACTCGAGCTCGAGCACAAGAATACGAAAGAAGCTCGGACTACGCTGCACCGCTTGATTGCCAAGAGCTCGTCGTGTCTCAGAACAAAGACCGAAACCCGAAATCACACGCAGCGCTTGGTCGCGTATTTCCTGCCAAAGAAGACAAGCAACCGAAAGCGGATTCGCTCCCAGCCTCAGGCGTATCTTCGCTTCGTGTTACAGAAGGTACTACGATTATAGCATGTGGCACGTCACTCGTCACGCTCGTGCTTATCATGTGCTCGATGTCCTGTAGACCAACTTGGAGCATTTCTCGGCTTTCGATACGCTGGCTCGCAGATTTCATCACCCATTGTCAGCGTTTTCTTACGCAGGCACGAAAGATAAGGCAGCTATCACGTTCCAGCACGTCGTGGTCAGTGGAATCGATCCTGATCAGCTCTTGAATGTCAACGCTAGCGAAGACAATGCGACGGCGGGAATTCGAGTAGGCAACCTCAAATATGTAGAATCGCCAATCGCTTTGGGTGGATCGAATGGAAACAGGTTCTCGATCGCAGTCCGTGGTCTTTCGTCCGAGACGGATTGCACTGCAGAGAGTATCCGATCGTCACTCGAGTCTGCGCTGAAGAACATCGAGCATCAGGGCTTTGTCAACTACTTTGGTTTCCAACGTGTTGGTCTCCCAACGACCACCGTGAGAGCGCACCACATTGGGGAGAAAATGATTGCCAGCAAATGGGAAGAGGCTTTCCGGTTGATTCTAACGGTCAGGCACGCGGAATCCGAAGATGCTGCGAACGCAAAGCAGCTCTATCTTGAGTCGGGTGACATTGACGCCGCTCTCAAGCTTATGCCGCTCGGCATGTCGGTCGAACGACAAGTACTTCAGGGTTTGAAGCGATACGGAAGTGACGCGTTTGAGCAGGCAGTTCAGAGTATTTCGTTTTCTCGTCGCATGATGTACATGCACGCGTACCAAAGTTACATATTCAATCGGGTGGCGTCGTTCCGGTTGCGTCACTGCGGAGTGAAGGTTGTTGAAGGGGATCTGATTCAGCGCGACGCCCAGAACGGAAAAGCAGTGAAAGCAGCTACTGCTGACGAAGCAAAGGAGCTGAATGCAACTCACCAGTTTGCAATGGGACTCGTTGTTTTGCCGCTAGCTGGAACAAGCGTTGTGCTTCCATCAAACTCGACAAAAGACGTATACGTCAAGGTCAGTCCATATCTAAGGCTGAGATTGTGCAAAGTGAGCAAAGCAAGGAAAGGCTGAGTGCGTTGTGCTGTGCTGGACTGTGGTGCTGCATGTAGATAATGGAGCAAGACGGCACGAGAGATGCTCTCCTCGAGTCCGGGCCAGTAAAAGGTGCGTATCGACCTCTGGTCGCATACCCGCATGACATGGAGTGGACTTGGCATCAAGACAACGACGAGCGTACGTGCTACCATGCTACCATTTCCCACGTCGTTCTCGACATAGGACCTTCTCTCAATGATCTACTAATCTTTCATGCATGCATTCACATGATGTAGCGCTCTCATTGCACGTCTCGTTCTCGCTTGACAGTGGCTGCTTTGCCACTATGTGCTTACGTGAGGTGCTTCATTCAGACATGTAGCATCCTGATAAGCCAAAGCGAACGAACACCATTTGCGAGACAAGAAGTTGATTCACCATTTCGTCTCGACCGTACCGGTTCATGTCGCTTTGGCAAATAGCACGCAACACACAGCATGCTGGGCTCTATCTCTTGCCTTCCAGTACTTCTCGCACGAGCTTAGCGCTTGTGACCATGAAAAGCATTTGCCAAATACACAACCCCAAGCGCGGCACGATACCCTTGGAAAGCCCCCCGCAGCCTTGCTCCCTAGTGACAGTGTGGAAGACCTGCATTTTTCTGCGCGCGACCTCAAGCAAGTGGTTCCAGCAGGACAGAGTGCCGCTAACAATGCTACCGTAAGCTTGGCCTCTTGCACCACCGTCAGTTTGGCCTTATCGTCGCTGTTGTAGATACGCTGCATTGTCGAGATCAAGCGGTTCCCCCTGACAGCCCCCGTGACTACGAAAGTATTGGGACCAATAACATCGACCTCGCACACCACCGCCTGCACCAGCCAAGAAACCCGTTGCCGTCTCACCCACTTCCACGCCCGCAGCTCGCAGCGAGTCGGAGATGGCTTCGTTCGAGGCGAGAAGATGGCATCTTTGGACGCCGACTCGACCATCTTGGGCCCTGTGCCGGCATAAAAGGCAGCGATCCCACCGCCTTCACGCACCACATTGCAGTAGCCTGACCAGTCGTTTTGGATCTGTAGCGACTTATGCGCGTTTTCCAGACCTCGTAAGGTATGCCTAATATTGCGGCTTCTATGCATGCAGCAACCCGCCATTGAAGAGGTCACGCGTACCCACTTCTTACAAAGTGCCGGGAGAGGAGGAGGCACGCGCAAGTGAAATCGAAATCAACGTCGAACGAACACGTCAAGTAAAGAGTGATAGCTGACAGGTGCTCGGGGACTTGGCTTTGGTTTGGTTACCCATGTGAGAGGAGAGAGGTCATGTCAGGTCGAGGCGACGACACAAAAGTCATGAGAATTGAGGAGCGCGAGACGACGGCGACAGATCGTAGAGGTCTGGATGTCGTCCCGTTCGTAATGACGTGGGTTCTAGCCACGGTCTACGTTGCACACATTGCTCTGAAGACATGTTAGCTATGACATGTGTGCAACTGGGTAAGTTTGTTACATGTCCTTGGCACGAATTGAGTCAACTTCAATAGCATCATATTTGATAAATTTATTGTAGAAGACATGGTAGAATGATTGAGTGCGATTATGGTAGTCCAGAGGAAGGCTAATCACAACTTGACATGGTTCAATTTCCTACCAACCTAACAAAGGCGAGACATAGACGCCCGAGCTTTATGAGCCTGATGCATTTCTCAACAAGCGCCAATCACGGAGCATATCACAACGTCGTGCCATAATGGCACTGCCACAATGACGTATCGAGACGTTCGGTGGTTCCCTAGTAGACTCTCAACTTTCCATTGGCAATCGTCGAGGTAGCGCCTTTTCGATCGGCCTATGTCGAGGTAGCCCCTTGAGATCGTTTGACGCCGCCCACTCTTTTTGTCTTGTGCGTAAGCTATCGACAGGTTTCGTTATTTCCGACGTGTGTGATTATAGATTAATTATTAATCACATATGATTAAAGTATTGTTTAAATAAACGTGAGAACGCAAATGACTCCGGATCAAGACGTGGATATACAGACTGAATCCATGTCATACATGTTGCTAGAATAGCTAATACAGTTCGCCTTAAATTTTCCTATAAGAGGTTGTTCGACGATATGGGCGATATTGTAAGCAATTCCAACGATGCAAAAAGTGGACTGTATGCTTTCGGCAGAAAAAATTGGTAAATAATAAGCACCAAGCTTACCATAGCCACTTTCTAAGAAAATGTATTTTTTCATAGAGGGACAAGAAGATAACGCTATAAAACGGAGGCGATACGTTAGGATCGAGTGATTTTGACTACGTTTGAAATGAGCTTATAGGACTTTCCTTATTGCTAAAATGCCGCTATCGCCATCGACTTTACTGATAAGGATGCGCAAACGGAAATAAAAATAAGTAAATTGCTAAGAAAAAACTTCAAAAAGCAAACTTATTTCTCTTCTGGGAATCTCCTGAGTAGACAAGACGTCGTCTACTCAGTAGATTCTCAGAAGAGATATCATCACAAGCGCACATTTTTAAATTATATATCAGCGACATGTAGGAAACACAAGATTTGTGCGCTATAAACTTGCAAAAATATGTGGGTGTATCACCACAAGGCTATACTAGATGTGTGAGCTTCAAGACAAGCAATGAAATTTGTTTTATTTGTTTAATTGTTTAACACGTTCGTGCTTTACACTCAGAATGACACGATATACGACGTAACATAAATTTCCTACTTTAAATTATATCGGGCGGTAGGACCGCCATCCGTCAAGCTCATATTTTGTCGCTACGCACCCATTCCTATTATAATGGACAATGATTCGCTCAAAACGATAAATTCTTTCTGTTAATCGTTTAGCATGTTCATCCTGATGGAACAACATGGGCCTTGTATAGACTACACAGGCTATTTGGTTTATCGAGGCACCCTCTGCTTTCCAAACACAATATGATTTACCTACACATTCCACAGCACTGACAGGGTTTTTTGTCCGTATAAGGCACACATCGAGGAAAATAGGCAAGTCTTTTATACGACATAGCTTTTTCGAGTAAAATTTGGACTGTATATATAATTTGATTGACTCTTCCTGCGTTACGTATATAAATAAAAAAGGTGACTAAGTAAATTTGGAGTATGCTATAGACACTTACTAATTGAAGCATTAAATAATCATATCACTGCATGGACGAAATGCATAAACAATTTTGATAAGTGACAGCAAGGCTTCTGAAAAAAGGTAAAAATTATTTGAAAATTGGTAGACTTACTGAATATTTTCAGCAAGCTGATATTATATATAGCTTCAGATCAGATCAAACGCTTAAATCGAACCTTGTTCGAAGATTTTAAGACGGACGCTGACCGTTCATGCTCTTTAAATTTGCCGATCTACGAAGGAGGTTGTCCGATGTGTGTGTCGCCTTGTAGCGTTGCGCTCGTGTTGTGTCGTGCTGTTTAAGGCGTTCAAGCTCATTCAAATGGTCTTCGCAGATATTTGTGTTGCTTTAATTACGATCTTGGTGATCGCAGCGCAGAAATCTACATCCAGCAGTCTGGTATAAGCAATCTTGTAAAAACTTACATCCGCTCTTGTAGTACTCATTCCCGCTTGGTATTGTTTTGATGCTTTCCAAACATTGATAATCACACGAGCCGATAGCAATCTAATAATTCCGATGTCGCATAACAATATAGCTCCATAATTTTTACTGTCAATATCTGATCGAATAGCTAAGTGCATGCATCTCACTCGACCGTGAATACATCCTCGGTTCTATTCCTTGGTTCTTATCTATCTAGTTAGGCTTAAAAAGTGAATTGTTGGCTAAATCTCGCGTCCGATGCAAATACTTGCGTCCATTCTGGCGTATATTCATGAGAAATTCTAGTTGATCCCTATCTTATTTAGCCAGAATTACATCTGATTTGTCTGCCATCTGCAATTAATATACACAGTATGATCATGATAGACTGTAGCCGATCTGACAATTTCATTTTATTAAGAGAATTAAATACATATCTACCCGATACATATAAGGATGCATATACTGTCGAAGTAACTTGATGCAATCAGGTGTGTAAATTAACCTTAATAATTGTTCCAAGAAGTACTTCTAATTCATTTTCTATATAAGTATTACTATTTCGACTATTTCGTTAATTTTTCCAATCAAAAATAATTAAGGCAGGTTGGCCCAGGTAACGTGTTAAAACTCGTTTTTTAACATAATAAGTCAATTTAATCAATCAAAAATAATTAAGGCAGGTTGGCCCAGGTAACGTGTTAAAACTCGTTTTTTAACACAATAAGTCAATTTAATTAATCAAAAACATAGATTAATTTATTAGCTGAATACGTACTCTTAACATAATCTTGGTTTTTATCTTAGCCCACAAAAACTCAACGACGTCTTTTTTAGACACCTCCCACTGGCTATTTGTACTGGTGCTAAGAAGATGCCCCCTGAATCTCTAAAGGAATTATGTTGTACCCCGTTGCAGATCCTTCATCTCCGATTCGTCTTTGAAGTGTGGAGTGCCGACGTCCTTCCAAATTTTTACATGAATAGATTCGTGTATCTTTCGAATATCTTACAAAATCCAAACGACAGAATTTTGCACTATCACGAGTCGGTCAGAGTGTCCAGCCGGTTGAATTGTGCTTATATACTTGCATGAAAAGCTTAGTCGCGTATCTGTGCCTTTGTTACTCATTCAAAATATCACAACACGGTAACATGGCATACCACTATACACGTTGTACTCCATTTTATCGATATTGATGTACATTGAATTAAAATTATAATGTCACATGCAGATTTGTTGGTGCATCGTCAAACAACAGCCGTGAACAAACTTAATCGTGTGTACATACTAGCGTTGATTAGGGAGGATAAACCTCAGAACTATGAGTAAATCTCCAGTCGTTATTGAGCTTCACTCTTATTAACTCACCTTCCATACTTTTTTTCATCTGGAGTACGCATCTTATACTAAGTATTTAACCATCGGATAAAATTTATGACTGATTGAAATCGCGCATTGCTTTCGATCGGTATGTTGCTCTTAAGACGACTTAACTTTATTTTAACAGAAAAACCGACCATGCAATATATGTTTATAAAACGGCTAGGTCCACCAATTATTGAAATATAATTTAAGCAATGGTCCAGCATAGAGTTCCGAATTCAATATGTGGCAAATTAATTTGATAAAAACGCGTAGTCAATCCCTATCTTCATAAAGCAAAAATGTCGGGTGACTTAACACTAAATAGTCGGGAGTACAACTGAATTTTAATAAAGCTAAGAAATCTAAATTGTCACGATATCGAATGGATCTCGTATGTTAATTATTCAAATGTGTAATACATTCAGGA